ATAAGGGCAAAATAAAAAATAAAATAGCGTGATATTTGATTTCAATTTAATTACCGACGGTCATAGCCTACTTCGATGCCAAGATTTGCGTCGATTTTTTTTTATTAGACTTGATATCAAAAAACATAATTTTGCACTAACTTTCGAAAGTTTCCGAAACATAGGGATGTGATTTTTGAAAAGCTGATAAAGATTCCTTTAGATAATGCTAAATTGGAAGAAAAAATTATCTGTTTTTATACATCATCTAGAAAAGCTTTGTTTTCTGAGCACAACGATGTTTTTTTCGATCCCACAGAATTTTATCTCTAGTTTCAAATCAAGATTTAATGCAAGATAATAACTTCACTGTTTGACACTCAACTATCAAATTGACAGCTCGCTCCCATACAAAGTCCCACCGAGGAGCGCTAAGATGGTGATTTTTGCGAATGTAATCGCTCTATTTAAAATTGTTAGAAGACACGGTTTTTCGAAGGTGCCGTCAACGCCAATTGAATTAGAGTGTGAGCACCGAAATGATGATTCGCGGTAGTGGTAGAAGGGCTCTTCGCGGTAGTGGTAGAAGGGCCCGTTGTTTGGATGGAAGATGGACTTTGACGTCAAACTCCGGCATCCGTTTGATCGGTCTTTGTCATGAAGCAGGATCTAAACTCCGTTGATGATGATGATATTAAACTTCTTCCGGTTGCTCTGCAACAGTCAACTCACCATAATTCTATGATCCCTTCAATATCAATGAATAAATTTCATTTTTATATATGAAACTTAATGAATTCATGTTGATCTTCGTCAAGCTTCGTCTACAATTTGGACTTCTACATCAACACATGTCAAGCAGCTAAACTTGGTGAGTTCGTTCTATTTGGTAAATTTTTATCATTTCAAACCAGTAACGTTGTGAGATCACCTTTTTGTGATGCGTTACAGGCATAATATCTACCACCGAACCCTAGCCGTGACAAATTCAAACTAGGGAATCAAGATTTTCCAATTATCAAAGGATAACATTTTATTCCTTGTTACTTTTTATGACTTGGTAATAGCAACAAAACTCGGGTAGTGACCACCGCTGTTATGCATTTCTATATTGTATATTACAAATAAAAAATATTGTTTATGTTCAAAGATTTCACATAATCCTTTTCCCCTTGTCCTTCTCCTTTTCCTTTCCCTCTTCTCTTTTCAGAAAGCGCTATAGCCATAAGGCATAAAAGGCTAGGACAAGAGTTAGTGCTCAACGTCCCAACCGTCAGAAGAAAATGGAGCATCACTTAACCTTTCTACCTTTGATGCTTCCAACGACCAACCAATCATATCATTACCAAAATCGGAACGTACGGTACGAGATGTCCACGTTTCATCCATTTATTGGATTCTGAAGCATCGTGTTTAAGTCTTCGATTAAAACAGGCCCGATGTTTTCTGAATCATCTTGCCCCTTAAATGCTGCCCAGTAGGCCTGGCCGTTTTGATATGTGTGACGCATCTTTGAAGTGAAACATATATCAAATAGACAAGAAAAATTATGTAGGTATATATATCATTTTCCAGGATGCCTTCAAGAACTGGCTGTGTTGTAGTTAGATTAGATTAGATACCTTTTGCCGCAGTCTCCTTTTCATGGTGCTCATTTCCGGATGACCATCATGAGCACATAGGATCTCCTTTGGTTGTAGTTTCTCCGGGATCACCAACCTATCTCCTCGCATAATTATACTCCCCATAGCATGAAGTTCCGATTTAAATTGTTTATATCCTTTGACTCTCTCATTCCATATGTCTGTTTCAAGACATTGCTGCAATTCTTGCAGAACAATGTCTTCTTGTGATGCTTCCCTAACATCTACAGCATATTCCAACAATTGGTTCGCATAGACTTCTCCGGATGTGTCGAATGCTTTCGGAATTCTTACTGACAATCGAGATAGTGCATCCACAAGATTACTGGCTCGCGGCTCATGTACGATCTCATAATCATATGACTGTAAACGGAGGACCCACCGTTCAATACAAGGGCATGGACGAGAACGAGGGTTGATTAGGAGTTTTAGCGCTTTGCAGTCTGTGATCAGTTGAAAATATCCCCCTAATAGGTAGAGGCTGAACTTTTCGACCCCCCACACCAGTGCAAGGGCTGGTAAATATGGTAAATATTTCTTTTCAAGTTCCGTAAGAGCTTTGCTCGAATATGCAATTATTCTTTTTCCTTCACCATCCTGTAATAAAACAGCTCCAAATCCATCGGGACTTGCATCGGCGATCAGCTTAGTTTTATCGTTTTTGTTAAAGAATCCCAAGTATCCAATACTACCAGTGGCTGCTTTGATCCTGTCAAAAGCTTTACGATGCGCCTCTTCCCAACGAAAAGTAACCCCAGCTCTCAAAAGCTGCCTGAGAGGCTCAGTTTTTGTAGCTAGATGAGGTATGAATCGACCTACATAAGATATCAGCCCCAAAAAGCTCGTGAGTTCTGATATATTCTTCGGTTCTCTGAAAACCGTAATGCCTGCCATTCGGTGCTCCGTGGGTCTAATTCCTTCCCGATTCAAAATATGGCCAAGGATTTCCACACACTTAGATTTTTTGCCGAGATGGGCACCACCGAGCAGCTCGGCATTTTATTTTGCTGGAAATTCAGCAAAAAATATGTTTGTTAGCTGAGATCTCGGCAAAATTCCCGTTTGTTAGCTGAATCTCGGCAAGTTTTTCACTGAGATCCAGTAAAATAAAATGCCGAGCTGCTCGGTGGTGCCCATCTCGGCGAAAAAATCTAAGTGTGCAGTTCTCGGTTATTGAGAAGCTTTTATTCGACTTATATGCGTTGTAGTAGAGCTTATTCGATAACATTTTTGGTTATTCAGCGTTTATTAGACAACACTGCTTCCTTAAAACAGTGATGCTCTGTATAGGTACACACTAAGAAATGATTACCGACTTCGGTAATTTGTACCGAACATTCAACAGCTGAATTGTTCGGTAAAAATCAGGCATTTTAATTCATTAGTTTCAAAGCTCCGAAACAAGAAAAACTTCACCACAATGGCAAGACTCGATTATTTGAACAAGGCTAGCAGTGCTTTAAAAATAAAATTGAGTAAAACAGCTTTTGAAATGAGGATCAAAGTTTTACCGAACGTTCAGCTGTTGAAAGTTCGGTAAAAAATTATCGAAGTCGGTAAAAAATTACCGAAGTCGGTAGTAATTTCTAAGTGTGTATGCTTGATTCTCATGTGAAGTAACGTAATCAGACAATATTATACATTTATTAAACGATTATTCAACTGTGGGGAAATTAACCCGAAAATAAGAGACGGGGACAAGGAAAGGGGGTGTTTCTTTAGTGATTGTGTTTGTTTTCATTATTTCTGACGTAGCACGCACCACACACAGAGATATTAGATAATTTTTTACATACATATACATATAAATGCCGTTGCATGGGATTCGAACCATGTATCTTCCGATCACTAGCCGCTTGCCTTGTAATCTGAGCTATCCTAGAATTTATAATATGGGCTGCTCAATAATCAATAAAGGCTTACTTGAAAGTGAATATCTATCAGCACTTCCGATCGCAACTGGCCCTGCGGGAATGATTAGTACATTCATCGTTGTTTTACATGAGACCAATGTTATCTCTTCACCTCTCCAATTTCAAGGAAAGGATGCTCGGTTATTTTTCAAACTGGATCAATGCATTCATTGTCATGAGTCATGTGATCGATGATTATTATTTAAATGAACTAGATGTAAAACACAAATAAAAAAGGGTTGAGCTTGGGATTGAGCTCACGACCTTCTGCTTGAAAAGCGGAAACGGTAACCACTACTCTACTGATTTCGTCTCGTTGTTAGGCTGAACCAGTGTTGTGGAATAATGAATCTAATACGTCGTTTATAAAGCATTTACAAAGCATGCGATTAAAACATGGACGCATAGTGGTATAAGAGCTAATATGTTGACTGTATTCACCTTTATTCAGCAATATTGTAAAGCAATGCAATGAAATCTAGCAATGGAGCTAGAAATCATTTATTAGACGTCTAATATAGCATGTTATTAAATCAATTGAAAACAGTCAAATTAAAGTATCAATGTATGTGCAAATTACGCTTATTCAGTTTGTTTATTAGATCAAACTTCTGGCGTTGAATTGGGAAGACAGTCAACTTTTATACAGCTTTTAATAAGTAAATTCTCGGAATTTTTTGGTGGGTATGCAGGAGCATTTGTAAATATAGCGCTTATTCGAGCAATAATTTCATTGTGCGAACTGATTAGTAATTTTTTTTGAAATTTGTCACACAATAAATAAATCTCTTGTATTGCACAATCCAACGCAAGCGATTGACTTGAAATTTCAAATATACTTTTATTCTAGGAACATTGACGGTGCACAAAACAATGACTTCTGAGCTATCGTCATTAACCCTCGTCGAAGATAAGATTTGAATTTGCCAACACTCATTGAACCAATAAACCACGCTGAATTCCATGTTGCGAAATTGACAAATATACCGGCATGCATTTTTTTGCAAATTGAACTCTAAAATCAACAACCAACAGTGGAAAAGTAGATAACGAACGTTTACAAATTATCAACCTACTTGGTTATCAAGACCCATAAATCCCGCCCCAACAATCGATACCCTCAAATTAGCTCATCACACCTTACCGTAATCGAGGGAAGTGATTCAGTTAAATAGGCATGTGCGAAAAGTGGTATTGCTTCAAATCATAAAGTGCAAAGTGCTTATAATAAGCAACCATCTGCTCCCACGGATTCTCCACAGGAGTCACGTCATAATCTCCGCTGATATTTGTCACGGATAAGACTCCCTTCGGGGACGAGGCCCTTATCACGGCATCAACCGTTCTATACAGCACTCATAGATAGTACCACCATCACTTGACTGAGACACCGACCGCGAAAATTGAGAAAACAATCGATCTAAAGTTGGGTACTTTCAGTTTCGATTCAACTGCAAACGCGGATAGGTGTCTTGAGCACATTGGAGTGAAAATGTTTTGCCTTACCAGGATTGCTACAACCCTGGTGGTGGTGGTGGTGGCCATCGGGACGACGACGGTTTCCGGCAACGATGCAAATTTCCTATTTACGGCCAATCGGTAAGTTTTAAAATTGTGGAGTGGCGATTTCAACATTTCTGTTTTCGTATTTGAAGATCATTGATCGATATTGGAAGTTAGAAACATGATTACCTAACTGGTCATATTTCCAATAAAAAAATAGCCTGATCACAAGGATTATCTTTTCGAAAATCATTTACCATAGCTTAGTGTTCAATTCATCACCGCCGCGATAAGATAACCGCGCTAAATTGGTAGATGATAATAACATTTTCTTCATATAACTCCATACAGCCTTCCCGCCAAAGCCGTCACCCCTACCCTAGCGAATGGAAACATCGGCTTCGTAGTGTACGGCGATGCCGTCCACATGAATGGAGTCTACAACGGCCACCGTGGCCTAAGTCACCGGGCTCGTATTCCCAACTATGCCAACATTCAAATCCCTTATTGCGCCGCTATCGTTGCCGAACCGACTGGCTGCTTCTACCAGCTCGATATGCAGAACAACATGTTCCGAACCGTGTACGAAGACCCGGGGCAAAACTTCCGCATTGTGCACGACGTCTATCCTAATCGGTACTTTGACATGGCGATCGTTAACAATATACGAATTCAGCGGCTCAACTCCCAGAGCGTGATACAAATCAACCTCGAACGGTATATTGGACCACCGAGTGTAGACATCACCTTCGGTCAACCTCAGCTGGTGGACATTGACGGAGAGATCTTCAACCGCCTTTGCGGTAAAACGAATCAAGTCGAGGACGAACGTTACCAACAGTTTGGCCACGATGTATGCGTTCATTACCCACAGCTGTCAACACAGCTGACCCTCAACGTCGATAAAACAGCCGAAGAGTACAGCTTCTTCACCATTTTCTCCCGCTCTACACTTGAAGCAGAAAACGAACTCCGTGCCATGAAGCGGTCCAATGTCGGTTCGTTTCACTATCGTGAACAGCAACGGGTTTGGGAACAATACGGAATCACCGTAGACGGAAACCATGACCTCGATCGGGTGCTCAAAGCAAGCTCCTTCTATCTGTCCAGTTCGCTCCCGTCAACTTACACGAACCAGATGAGCAGCTACCCGTTCTACGGTCTGTCCCCGTCCGGTTTGGGACGTGGAGGAGAAGAACTGAAGGAATATCAAGGTCACGGCTTTTGGGATACGGAAATGTGGATGTTCCCACCGGTTCTTCTGATAGACCCCTATAATGCCCGTAAACTGCTGCGGTACCGAACTGTTGTTTCAAGAGCAGCCGCTGATACAGCTACTGAAAACGGCTACGAGGGATGGCAATTCCCTTGGGAATCGGCCTTTACTGGGACGGAAACAACACCCGACTGCTGTCCACAGAACCCTGAATTCCAACACCACGTTATAGCCGACATAGCATACGCCGCCAGGCTATACTTCTATGCTACGGAAGATGCGGATTGGATGCGAACTGATGGATGTCGTCTGGCTTACGAAACTGCCAAGTTCTGGAAAAGTCGTGCGGAATACAACAACGTCACCGACCTCTACGAACTTCACCGCATCATGGGACCAGATGAGGATCACCATAGCGTTAGCAATAACGCGTTCACGAACGTCGTAGCTGCCCACAATCTCATGTTTGGAGATTTCGCTGGATGCTTGTGCGAGGGAAGCGTTGGAGCCACCAAGGAAGAGCGTGCGCAATTCGCCGAAATAGGCAAAGGGATGACGCTGCTGCACGATCAAGAGAAAGATTTCTACCCGCAATTTGAAGGCTATCAGCAGGGAACTCCGATCAAACAAGCAGACGTTGTTCTTCTCGGATATCCGCTGGAGTTCCCGATGAACAGTTCAACGAAAGCAAACAACCTAGAGATCTACAGCAAGGTAACCCGTTCTAACGGACCTGCTATGACCTGGGCAATGCATACCATAGGACATCTCGAGCTTGGACAAATGGCCGAAGCGGAGAATATGTTCACCAAGAGCTACCAACAGTACATGCGAGCTCCGTACAACGTGTGGAGTGAAAATGGTGACGGAATTGAAGGGGCCGGTAACTTCATAACTGGCGCTGGTGGATTCTTGCAATCCGTCATCAACGGCTACGCTGGCGTTCGTCTGCGCAACGGAGAACTGGTGATAACGAAACCCTTGCTTCTGCCCGGTACAACTCGCCTATACATTCCGGAAATCAACTACTTAAATGTCAAACTGAGCCTGGAAATTACAAACGCTAACACAACGATTGGTGTGAAATATGGATCGATGTCGTCGAACGTGAAGTTTATCGTTGACGAACAGGAACGCGAAATCTGCACTTCGTGCTTCAGTAAGTAGACTTGTTCAGATCCAAACCCAACCTGAATTCTAACCCATTTCGTTTGCCCCATCCGCAGTTTCCTTCAACAACCGCGTAGTCATCCGACCAGTGAGCCAATCCAACTTCAATGGATGCAAATTGCAGGAAACCCAAGTCGGAATCAAGGTGGCCGATCAAGGTAGTGGCGCCTATGCGGTGCGTCTGGCTCCGGCATTGATCGGGGGTATTTTGGTGGTTTTAGCCTTGCAGAAACTGCTTTAATGTTAGCTGGTAAAAGAGATTGTAGAATGCTGTTGACATATGGGAAGCTTTAGCAGAAATAATAAAGACCTTACTCACATACGTATTTGTGGTAATAGATAACTATGGATCAGAAAGTGGACTTTTAATAAGTAAACGAACTGCTCAACTGATACATTTTTCCATACTAAATTTCAAATTTTCCGGCAAATCCAGATCATTGCCAAATTTGTTTAAAATTGGTCCAATTGCTGGGGATCTTAATACATATTGAATGAGCAGTGGGAAGCAGGGGTTTGTAAAGTTGACTCATACCAATGTACATTGTACATGAAACAAAACAAGTTCCTTGAGAAAAAAGTGTTTATATTTCAATATCATTATACGGTTCACCGTTCACATATACAGTACTGACAACTTCTTCAGGAATGGAACAGTGTACATAAATGTTTTCCTTGGCCTGGATGACCATAGTTCTGTTCGTGGTATTATCTGAAAATAGAGAACTCTGTTGAAAAAATTACCGGAAAAAAATATTAGGAGCTGTCACTAAACCACGTTGACAGTTTTTTTTAAAGGTGTTAGATTTCGCTCCTCCTGCGTGGATATTGGGTGGCCCAAAATTGCACTTGGTCGGGAAACCTGTGGGCGCACCCTCCTAACGATAGCTAAGGGTACTACAAACACACTTTTTTATTATGGAAATTTTGGGAAATGTTGTTTAGAGGTAGCCCAGAAGAGATTGAAAAAATAAGTCAATTTTTGATAGCTAATACGAAATCATGTTTCTAATTCTTTAAAATTTAGTGATACCTAACCCTTTTATATTCAACGTGTTTTTATGTTACTTCATTCGCGAAGTTTGCGATTTTCAGAGTTGGTTGGAAATGCTATCTAACATGAACTTTAGTGTGATAATTTATTAGCTAGAGAATGATCTTAGAAGAGGGTAGGTGGATAGTTCCGTTAGAGTACGGCAGTATGAAAATTGAATAGAAGTTGAAAACTGAGCGAAGAGCCACAATAGTTGATAAAGAAGAATTGGATTATAACACACACTGGAAATGCTTTCGGCAACGTGGGGCTTTAGGTAGTGATGAAACGTCGCTAGAACTATTTCACAGCCGCAGACAGTAATGAGCAAAGTCAAGCGCACACTTTTTGCCTGTAGATTTGAAGACATACTTCAAATTTCCGCGTACATCGTACCGGTTAGGCAAAAGGTTTGCGTTTGACTTTGTACTGTCGCATTAATGACCCTTCGCTCATTTTCAACTTCTATTCAATTTTCATACTGCCGTACTCTAACGGAACTATCCACCTACCATCTTCTAAGATCATTCTCTAGCTAATAAATTATCACACTAAAGCTTAATGTTAGATAGCATTTCCAACCCACTCTGTAACCCTTTTATATTTTTTACTGATTCTTAAAGGTCCGAACTATAAGCGAAAAAAAAATCCACGGCATGTTTAGCGTAAAATTTGTATGTTGCAATTTTTTAAAATTATTTAAAACTATAATTTTTTAGGTAAAGTATGGCATTTAATCATCAAAAGTCCGTATCAAAGGTAATGCTATTATCAATCGAATCTAACAGAAATTTGAAGAGGAAAAACTGTGCCCCTATGTTAAAGCCTGTCCACGTTAAATTTCTGACACTTTTTTTTCAGCGTAGTTTTTGAAATATTTCACGAACCACTGAAACGTTTCATTTATATGACAGCTGTAGCTCTCAATTTTTTTTTTTTTTTTTTAATCTTTATTTTAGAGATTTTTAGCCTGAGGCTAGTTCATCTCTTGAGTGTAGCTCTCCACTTTATTTCGTGGAACAACATGTTAACATTCTTGTTCAGTTTGGTAAAATGGGGACGAATCAAGTGGAAGTACCCAAACGAATGTTGTACGGACGGCAGCAAAATCCAACGTTGTCGGTTGGTTGGTCAGTCTTTATTAAGGAGATTTTCAGCCAGACGCTGTTTCATCTCCGGCGACGTTGTCGGTACGAGATCTCGCCAAAAAGCTAAAACTGCCTAAGAGTACCATGTTTAGTGTGTGAAAATCGTTTGAACAGTGCTTAGCTGTGGATCGGAAGGTTGGAAGCGGAACAAATCTAAAAGTATGCTCTCGACAAATAGACCTGAAGGTGGTAAAGACTGTACTCAACAAAGATGCAACAGACAAAAATGATCACCAAAAAATTATTTTAAGTAGGATATTTTGAAACTCTCAGGGAATAATTAAACCCATAGGGGAAATGTTTCTAATGTTGGCCTATGAATCTAAGATTGGGCCCATCGCTAAAAATCTGCTATTTATCAATTTTATCTAGATGAACGCGTTATTGGGACGTTACTAATGGATATTTTTGGTTGCTATTGAAAATTTAGTCGATTGCTGAATTTATGTATTGGCCCAAATTAGGGACACTTAGGCCGACATTACCTGCATTTCCCCTATTAGCTATGTTTTTGCAAAGTTGGTTTAATCAACCTCCTCTCCTAGGCTAAATGCTCGCACCTTGGACTTAAAGCTACCCATCAAATCCTGTGCAACACTTGCGCCATCTTTCTTACACACTTCCATCAAATCCTTGTCGTTTTAGAAGACCTTCCTTGCTTTCTGGAGCTTTCCCTTCATAATCGCCCAGAATTTTTCTATTGGCCGAAGTTCTGGCGACTGCATCACCGGTTTCACGTAATGGCACGATGCCAGATCCGGCCAAAACAGAGTGTCACCTTCGTAGGACCGGAGGAACGACAGCAGGCATTTTTCTTTATATATTTGGCCGTTGATGGTGCCGGTCGTTATGTACGGCTTGCTGAATTTGCCGCACCTACAGACCGCCTGCCACACTAAGTACTTCTTGGCAAATTTGTCGACCTTCTTCTTCCGGAACTTCTCCGGAACATCCAGGGGGGACTTTTCGACGTAAAACTACAGGCCGGAGATCTGCTTGGCGTCCGCTTTAATGTACGTCTCGTCGTCCATTACGATGCATTTCGGCTGCACCAACGACTCGCGGTACAGCCTCCTGGCGCGGGATCTGGCTACCGTATTCTGTTTATCGGTTCGATTAGGTGCCTTCTTTACCTTGAAGACATGAAGTCCGGCCCGCTTAATTGTCTGCTGGACGAACCAGACGGAAGAATTGACCTTCTTGGCCACGTTCCGAATCGGAAGATTCGGATTGCGCTTGAAGTTATCCCTCACCTTCCTTGCGTTCACGGAATCGATCATCTTCGCTTTTCTTCCGCTGCCAGTTCGCCGCCGGGTCGTCTGGTCTCCTTGAACGATATTATCACACGGGACACTGTCGATTCCAAACTGTTTCACGTTCCACCTGTGGGACTGACCTGGATTTTCCACGACCGCTCCCATAATTTTTTGTCGAAGCACTTCTTGCTTGGAAGCCATCTCGATAAACACTTGACACACAGACAAACAGACGTAACACATTGAGCAAGTTTTTCTTGAAAACATAGTATCTCAAAACATAAGACCTCAGTAACGACATCTCTCTGGCTTCTCGCGGAAAACAAGATTGCTCGCTAACTCGCAAACAATATTGCATAAAAGTTCTATAGAATGTATAGAAACGTCAAAGTGATCCGATGCCAGCGCTGCGATGAGTAGTTCGCGGAACTGATAATATTCAAATCAACCGTTAAATGCGTGAACGAAGATACACAATGAAGAGTTACGTCTGTTTGTCTGTGCTTGACAGATTGTGACGAGATTTTGCACATGTAAACATTACACTCTAAACTAGTTTAACTCAAAATTTCATCAATTTTTACCTATGCAATAATTGAATACAACACAAAAGAAAGGGTTGCATTTTTGACGTAGAACTACGTCTTTGTCGACTATACTGGGGTGCAAATCAAAAAATATGTGTGGTGAAGTAGTGTTAGGTTTTGAACGCTTGTAACTTTGTCATTTATAAATGATTTCGCCAATCGATAGGTTATTACATTACGAACCTGCTGAAATAAACGTTTTCCCATTTATCTGTAATACATCTTTTGAAAAATGTACAAATGATAATTTTATCACTGTTTTCATGAAATAAGCGTTTTTCCCAAACCCAGTCATCATAATCGAGTACCACTTGGTTGCACATCTTTCTGAAAAGATATAAAACAGCACTGCTGTCGCGCTTCTGCTCATTACCGCTTCGGACGACGTGGCGCTTGGTCCTGCAGTAAGCAGGAGCAAGTCAGTGGTTAAAGGTGAATTCCCAACAAACATTGAAAGCTGAATAAGAGCTTATTCATGCAAAAATACGCTTCTTCTACTAAAAATTGGCTTATTCAGCTCTTAATCAGTTCAAATTGTTTGTTGGGTTGGGTCCCGTTCAACTAAGGGGCTGTTCACTAAATACGAGGGGGAGGGAGGGGGCAAGAATCCCAAAAAATTGTCTACGTAGTGAATACGAAACGTGGAAAAGTTATTTATGCAAAACAACCCCCCCCCCCCTCACCCTCACCTATAACGACAACCTGAAAAAACATGGACTTTAACGATCACTTTTTTCCAGGAAATAATTAATCATTTTGTTCGACCTTTATACACAGAGATGGCGCTGTTCCGCTGGTAGGAAGTGATAAAAATCACCATTTAGAAATTGAGAGAAGTGGGAATAATTCGCTTTTGGTGCATATTCAGGTCAACAAAAGTGAACGACAACCTAAACAAATTAATCAGGGACTTTGTCGTTCAGTTTTTCCCGGAAATTATTGTTAAACAAGCTACAATTACATAAAAATGATTTTTCCCCATTCGTTTTACCTGCTTTACTACCAGTTCCCAAAGAGCCAAAAAGCTCAAATTTGAGAGAGAAAATTTGCTCTCACAACCTCAATCTCTCAACATGCACACTCGATTTGTGATTTCTCTTTCACAGATTACAAAATAGAGTACCTGACACTACAAAACATGTCTGGTACCTTTATACATACATTTACTTTAACATTTGAAATCCCTCCTTTTTTTACATATTCTGCGCAAACGATACTTTATGCCCCGCCCCATACATAAAAAATCGGCGGGAAATTCTGTGAGGGGTGAGCTATTTTGTGTGCAGAATGTGTAAAAAAGGAGGGACTTCGAATAATAATCTAAATGCATATATAGAGGTACCAGACATGTTTTGAACTGCAGTGTCCTCTGTGAACAATTATAGGAAAACAGATTGTGAGTAGTTTCCGATAGATGTCACCGCAAACAACAGCAGTGACATCTGATGGAACATGAATGCAGCAGCTTGACAAGATTAATTGTAAAACCAACTACAATTTGTTAAAAAAAAAAGTTTAATTCCGTTAATTTTTTACCCAACTACCGCCCAAAGAGCTTCGAAGTTTAGAAAAAAATTGATCACAATATTTTGTTGTTATTCTGTGGGTGATTTATCACCAACTGACTGTAAAACCTAGTACCTCTGTATATCAAATTAGATAAACATCCGAAGTCCATCCTTTTTTAAATATTCTGCAAAAGATACTTTCTGCCCCGCCCCATTCATAAAAAAACGGTGGGAAATCCTGTCAGGGGCGGGGCTTAGAAAGTATGTTTGTGCAGAATATGCAAAGAAGGAGGGGCGTCGGATGTTAACCCAAATGCATATACCGTGCATCATAGAGAAAGAAGCTCTATCTACTGTTTCCAATTGGGTTCTTTAAGGGTATTGAGGTAAATTCGTAATCTACATTAAACATGGAACCGAAATCCGAAGTTTGATCAAAATTGGAGCACTGGAACTATTTTAAATAAGTGCGATTACATTAGCAAATATCACCATCCTAGCGCCCCTCGGTGGGACTTTGTATGGGAGCGAGCTGTCAATTTGTTAGTTTAGTGTCAAACAGTGGAGTTAATATTTTGCTTTAAACTTTGATTTAGAAATCGTGATGAAAGTCTACGGTTTCGAAAAAAAAAATATCGTTGTGCTCAAAAAACGAAGCTCTTTCAGGTGATGTATAAAAATCGACACACTTTTTATTAAAATTAAAGAACCCAAATAGCGCAATTACTCAGGAATGCTTGTGTGATTACGAGCCCGCTTTTCAATAAAATCCTATTTTGAGAACATTGTTCATTTTTTAGTATTATTTGAAACTAGAAAGTTAGACTTTTTCACCGAACACACATTTTTCATGTCCATATGTAATATTCATAGAAAAAAACACGGCATACATTTGGACGCAGTGCAAAAATGACATGAATTTGTCCAGCCAAAATCCATTACCCTACACCGGGGCAACTAGAAACGCGTGGGAAAGTTGAAACGGTAGATGTAGCTTTTAGCGGAAGTGAATAATCACTGAGATTATTTCTAATATAGTTTGCGGTAGTACACAATGCCTCTCAAAAATAATTACAGTGAATATTCACTTCCATTAAGAGATACACGTACTGTTTCAACTTGCACCGGTGTACCTTAACTATGATGTGTACTATCAAAACATTAAACAGGTGGATAACCTGTATACAAGCTTTTGCTCTGACTTTGAAATTCAATAGCTGAATCCCCTAATTTTCAATTAATGTTGTACTAAGCACCTACTTATTGGAAACCAAAACGTTTAATTTGAGAAAAGTCACAGTATTCTATTTTGCAATCATTCTACGAACACGCTGTAAAGTACATAATGATGATGCATGGTAATTTAATATTAGGGTTGTCCTCCAAATTGGAGATCAAAGAAGTGCCTACGGTATGATCGTTATACCCCTTCCTCCCCTACTTCGTTGACATATTAACCAACATTTTGTTCAATATTTAAAGTACCGTCTTCTGACAGGCAAAACAACTGCCTGTTGCGTTATCATAAAATGCAATCTTCACTTTCTTCTCTGCTTCAGAAACCTAACTTAAAACTATTGATAGAGCTACTGAAAAAAAAAAAATGCATTTTTTGGCAATTATTTTATCCCACAACATGCATGGCGTTTTTGTGTACTATACTGAGGTGCAAATCAACCAAAAAATGTGTGACGAAATAGTGTCAGTTCCTATTGTAGTCGATGTCGATGTAAAATTTAGTGTACATTGATCACAGCAAAATAACTCAACATTGATCAGCGCAAGGTAGTTAGAGGAAATTCTGTCAATTCTTAACCATTAAATTAAATTTAAATACATTATCTCATGCGTAATATGAACCGTGGTCTGATTATGCTATCATGAATTGTCGCGAGTTTTGAACCATAACCGAAACATTGAAATACTTTAAAAAAATAAGATAAAGTATAATAATCAAAAATTCAATTTTGAGTAATTCTACCTAATACTGCGGTCGTGTCTAGGACACAACCCTTAAATTTTTTTTCGAGTACAATCTTTAGGACCCTTAAGAATTCAGTAAAAAATATAAAAGGGTTAGGTTTCACTAAATTTTAAAGAATTAGAAATTTGTTTTCATATTACCTATGCAAAATTGACCTTTTTTTTCAAAAATCTCATAGAGACTACCACAAAACAACATTTCCCAGAGTTTCCGTCGTACAAACATTAGTGCCCTTAGCTATCATTTGGAGGGTAAGCCCCCAGGTTTCCTGAGAAAGTGAAATTTGGGGCCACTCTAGTGAATAATCACTACACATTAAAAAATCACCATCTCACCCCTTAAACAGGACATACTTACATATTTGATTCAATATCACTGACCCACACGGCAAACTACCAATGCATACACTCAAATCCCGTGTAAGTCTCGTGAATTTTACGGAGGTCATATCGCTTGAAACCGACAGCGTAAATTTCGCGCCCAAGTACTGCAATCCTTTGACTTCGAGCTGCGTCGTTTCAGGAGGTAACTGCGAATTTCCTATCTCCATCCGATCCAGGAATAGTCTAACACCTCCAAAACCATTTATCACAGCTTGCAGAAACCCCCCGGCACCGGTGATGAAATTGGTAGCTCCATTGTCAAGCCCTCGTTCCACTTCATTCCACACGCAGAACGGTTCCCGCACGTAGCCTTTGTAGCTTCTTTCGAAATTCTCCAAACCTTTCACCGTTTTGCCCAAATCCAAATAGTTAATGGCATGCATGGCCCAGGTCATTGCCGGCCCGGATCGTCTGGTGACTGATTCGTAAAACCGCAAATCGTTACCCCGAGTATCGGCATCCATTCCGGGGTACTGCAGAGGATAGCCCAGCAGCACGGTGTCCGCCTGTTTAATGACTGTCCCCAATTGGTAGCCCTCGAACTGGGGATGATAGTCATTTTCGGTGTCATAAAGCAACTTTACCTGTCTCGCCAGTGCACTCCAGTTTCCGCTGGTGGAGATGGGCGGCGCCACGTCTTTGTCCAGGTTCATCGGATTTGTTTTATTACCACTATCGGCACCGTTGTCGTCGTCGCCGCCTTTGCTGCAGAGGCATTTCGTCAGGCTGTAATGATGGGATTAGTGAAGGGTCTCATCGGAAATCTTAATATGATCACAATATTTAGAGCCACACGCGGGAACGTGATGAAAGGGGATGGCAAAGGACGAGGAAGGGCGTGTAGTTCCCATCATAGCATCGTACGGATGATGCTGAGGTGCCTGCAACCGAGCGACATGAGAACGATGATGATAATGATGCATGACTGCCGTGCGCTGACCACACCGCGTGATAGAACTTCTGCTAGATTCCCACCGGAAGTGATGCCAACTGATTTATTGATTGTTTACATATTTTCATCGTGATGATAGGTTCGCAATTGGCATCATTGTCCGGTGATAGGGGAATGAAGGATGCTATGAATAAAGCTTCTGCCTAGTTCAAAATCAGATCAGCTCCGCAGTCTGGATCAAGGCCCCGAACAAACAATAATGACATAATGAAAACGGTTTCAAAACGATTCGTTCACGACAGCCGGTCGTCAGGGATGGTTATGGGTTGGGAAAATTATTTTCCCATGTAAAATCAATCACCGAAGAAGGTCGGTCGCTGTGTGCCGGATCCAGTGATGATACCATGGACGATCAAAACGAGACCGTGAATTATAGACCCTAGCGGAGGAGCATTTTGACGGTTGCTGGCAGTCAATCGCAGATGATAATTGTGTAGTACACACGACCACCATCCAGGTCTCGAGGAATGGATTAAGAAATGGGACGTTTTATGATTTATTTGCTTTGTTCACGAGAGCAGATTCTTCCGCTCCTATGTGCATGGTTGAGCCGATCGAGTCGACGAGATCAGGTCGTAATCGGATTGGTAACGGTTTCGGGAATGCTGCCTAATGAAAGGGTTTGCGTGCGACAGGTTCGGTGGGCTTGGACAGATGGATGTTGGTTTTACCGCTCGATGATCGTTCCGTTTTTAAGATTGTTGCATTCGGTGGGAAATGTGTTTGCGATTCTCGTTGGTTCGTGAATTGATTCGATGTGCTTGAATTGCGTTCTTTGTTTTCCGTCTTTTGTGTTGTTTTCTGGTTGCATTTTTTGTCTTGGATTGGAGGTTGGATTTTTTTGCTATCTCATTGCATTGTTTTCTGAGTTTTGCATTTGCTATTTTTCATAATCTAATGAATGATACCATACTTTCAGAAAATTATCCTTTTGTACAGTTCCAGGACAAATAGCGAAAATGATTAATTTTAGACTTGACCTTCGCCGATTTGCATAATTCCATAGCAACATGTGAAAAGGGCTTATGTGCCGGTTGAAAACAATGACTCTAAGGCTCTGAACCATTTGGTGGATTATTTTAACTTTTGGTTAAAATTTGACAGATGAAAAGTTATCGATTAACCCTGCTATCCGAGCATGGTTATTTCTGACAGACAAGAAGTTAAATTTTGACAACCGTGGCTCGAAAACCGGTCGATCGACAGCACGGGGATTTTCGAACATAGAAAATAACTTTCGAAATGTCACTTTTAACCACGAGTTAAATTTAACTCGGCAAATGGTTCACAGCCTAAATGTCGATTTCTCGCGGATAAGGACTCATTTAGACAAACCGACATCAGCATCTGGTAGCAAATATTTATCTTTTTTTTTCAGCTAAAGAAAATAATTTTTATTTTATGTTCAATCATATAGTTTACCTCAGAACTTTTGATTTAATTTTATACGTTGGTCTGCCAAAATTCTGAGCTTGTTGGTGATCAATTGTTGGAGTTGTCGTAAATGATCTTTCCGCAAATTAGCTTCGAATAATTTCAAATGAAGGTCATTGAGGACATCGATAACTGATGAATGGCTGAGTTCATTTTGTTTGCTGAACATCGAAAGTAATGTTCTTAAGAAAATTGAATTAGAAGCATTGACGTCTCATTGAAGCTAAAAGTAGGCATCAATGCTTCATCGATGTTGTCATATATTTTTACTGAATTATATTGTTTGTATTTAACATTGAAACAAAGAGAATAAACGCAACTCTAAATTGAATACCGTAATTCGGGGGCAAATTGATCACATAAAATGTGAATGTGGAAATTAATTCTTACACGCCACCCAACCAAAGGATGTAAGATTTGCTTACAATTATGAGGGATTCATCATCGCAGGATGTTAGTGGAGACCGCAAGAATGGAGAATGAGATGTACGGAGTTACGAACCAATACGAGAAAATAAAGAAAGGAATATGTAGAATGTATTAGTGAGTGAAATGAATAATGTCGAAGAAAAAAAAAAACGTTTCTGACTGGACTCGAACCACGAACGTACTACGAAACCAGGAAAATTTTAGAGATCTTCGTTGATATTCATGGATTTTCAATAAGATATCCATAAAGTCCTCTGGATATTTTTCAAGAACTAGATTGATCAAGTATTATGTTGAAGATTTGCAAGTGTACAAAAGTTCAAATGCTATCAAAAGCCTCTGGGTCTGCCTCTACTGCGATGTTCGGCTGGATTCCAGTCCAGTGCTTGCTTGCAGATTTCGTTTCCGCTCCGTCGTAGTGTTTAGCCGACCCACCTCCACTTCTGTTCACGAATGTCTGTCTCTAGCGGCTTCTGATGGCACAAACGATGAAGCTCGAAATTTGAGATCCAATTGTGGGGCCACCAGGCACGAATTATGTACCGCAGGCATCGGTTGATAAACACCTGCAGCTTCTGAGTGTTCTCCGCTGATACACACCATGTTTCACTGGCGTATAACAGCACAGACTTCACGTTAGAGTTAAAAATTCGGATTTTGGTGCGTCGACTGATCTGATTCGCTCTCCCTACATTTCGCAAAATGGCAAAAGCAGCCCTCGCCTTCTTAATCCGTGCACCTATGTCGCTCTTGGTGCCGCCGTCCGACGCTATCTGGCTGCCAAGATATTGGAAGCTTTCGACTTTCTCCACTGCCTGCCCAGCTATCGTGAAATTGGAACGGTATTCCGTGTTGACATCCAACGATTTGGTCTTGTTGACGTTGATGGTTAGACCTGCTTCAGATGAGCGTTCCACAAGGTCGTCGAGCTTACTCTGCATGTCAGAGCGCCGTTGTGCTAATAACGCAACATCATCAGCCAAATCGAAGTCGTTGAGATGCTCCATGGTAATAGGCTGCCACAGCAACCCACGGTTCGGTACACGGTCAACGGCTCTGTTCGAGCGAGACAAGTAGAGAAATATCGATGCATGTGCATCCCTAGTAATGGAACATTTTCTCTCTACTTCTCTCACCAAGTCGAAGTGGTAGTATACTCACACTACCAGTGTCTGATCTCCCTCGATCACCGGTCAGCTGTGTAGTACATAGAGCAGTAGATCATTTAGAGTATAAAAAACCGTCGCGGAGTAAATACTTCGTTTTCGTTCCCTTTTAATAAACTTATTATCAGTTAATTGTTCGCGTTAAATAAAGTGTATTTTGTTTTGTAAAACGAATTTAAGTGTTGTGTCCGAAAAGTCGGTTTAACGCGCGAACATTTGGTCCTTCGAGCCAGATCTGTCGGATCCCCTTTCGGACACAGACCACGGACAAAAAGTGTTGCGAATAAAAACCGTTGAAGTGATTCAATTGTCGCAAATTGGTGAATTGCACCGTTCTCCTTACGGTGACTGTGAACTTAAGCTGTTGTGGACAGTAGAAAGTTAAATTTTGTTAGAAGAAACTGCCAAAAAACGTGTAGGAAATGCGCGTCTGAAGAACAATTGTGTGCTTTGTTCCTGCCGCGGAATTGTTCGCGGTGCCATTTTGGTCGTGCGACATTCTACTCGCGGCGCCATCGCGAGACCGCTACGGAGCCATCGTGAAGCAGCTGGAAAAAGCACGAGTTCGGAAGACATTTGGCAGGATTAGGAAGCTGGATGCCGTATTGAGTTGGGAAGTATTTTCAAGTGCATCAAACATTGGCCTAGTGCATGTGGCTTAAAATTATAATTGGCTAAAGCAAATAAATTATGTAAATTCCATGCGAGTATTTCTTTTCATTGGCAAGTAGCATTCCTTGTGTCCATCTTTGAATGTTGGTCTCAGAAATTGTGTCTCCTTGCTGCTGTCACCTGTTGGGTTGCAAGAAATTAAATTTTTGCTTCGCGAGACCGAATTAGTGGAACGTCGAGTTGATCGGGAGTGTTAGTGCATTGGTGATGCAGTATTTAAATTCGAACAGAATCGAATAGGATCGATGCTGGTCACAGTGACAGTGAAAGTGTGGATTTTGCTGTGAAGTGAAAAGTAATTGATGTACGCCAAAATGGTAGCTGATATGCGTGCATTGACGAAGCGTGAACGGCAGCTGTTGAACTCCTTGGAGGGAATCGAGCGATTTGTCGAGAACTATGATCTATTGAAAGATGAAAGGAAAGCTGTAGTTCGCCTTCAAGTTCTAGAAGTGGTTTACAAGGAGTATTTCGAGGTCCGGAGTAAGATCAACCCAAGCGAGGATTCAGAGGTAAAGACGAACGATGACCAGATCGAAAGGCTCTCAGCGATTTCGAAGATCGCTACTGTGACATAAAAGCGGATCTTCTCGAAAAGATCGATAAAAAATCTGCATCTCGAGATTTGACAACAAATAGCTCATCAGCAAGTGGCTTCCCGAAAGTCAAACTCTCGGAGATCAGGCTTCCGACGTTCAGCGGGAACATTCGAGAATGGGTCCCCTTCCGTGATAGTTTTCGTAGCCTCATCGATTCCAACACCCAGCTGATGGAGATGGATAAATTTAACTATCTGTGATCATCTTTGTCTGGTTATGCACTGCAGGAGATAAGTTCAGTGGAGCTTTCTGCCGCTAATTACAGTGTAGCATGGGATGCTTTGCTAATCCGCTACGAGAACAAAAAGCTAATAGTGAAGACCCACCTCGACGCACTTTTCGCTGTGGAATGACTGAGGAAGGAGTGGACTCAATCACCTCATTAGTGAATTTGAGAAGAATCTTCAAATGTTGGAGAAAATTGGCGAAAACACAGCGGATTGGAGTACAATATTGGCGCACATGGTATGCAGT